TTGAGGAACCTGCCATCTAAGTTTTTCAAACATTACGTAATCACACCGGAGTTGTGTACATGTTATGACAACAAACTTTTAAATCTTGAATCTCTTGGGGGGACAATTTCTGCATTTAAATATAGTTTTTCTTTAAAAGTACCATGAACAACCCTACAGTTAACACATACATGTCCTAGATCTAACATTAAAACTCTGGCACGCATGGTTTAATCCCACACCAAACGCCTTGTTTCCAGCAGCAACAATAATAATAAGCCCATGTAATTGTGTATTTTATCGCAGTATGATTTTCCCAATGTTGCCGAGCCAAAGGAACAGGCTGAACAGGTTGGACTGTACTTGTAATAACAAGAGGAGACGTGACTTACAGGAAGCTGCTAATATAAGAGGGCCTGAAGAGGAATTGCACAGACCAGAGGCGATTCAGCTTTATGTATACAGTAAGAACAAAAACATGCTGATAAAATACTAAAAGGTCCCCATTAGAATGATTTTTAGGGCCACCAGCAGCACTGAAGCATCAATAACTCTGGGAGGGAAAAAGCTTATACCTGAAGTATTTACAATTGAGTTCCAAGTAAAAAATATCAGGTAATATTGTGTACCTCACACACATTTTTATAATAAAAACTTGTGGAGACCACACCAATTTTACACATGATTGAGTGCAACTCAGCCTTGGAACATAGTTAAATAACATCTTGAAGGGAGATTTCATAAGTATGAAGAAATGACTAAAATACCTTAAAATGATGCCATCTTATTGTATTATTCAGTGGCATCATGGGACTTGTAGGATCCAGCATTTATGGAGCTGGACCCAAAACAGGGATTCAAAATCTGAATAAATGCTTTGATTTTTGACTCCATTGAAGTGCAATTTCATTTATTTAATGATTTAATTACAGAATTTTTGTATATAAAGTAGATAGAGTTGTTGTACCGCAAAGGTCAATAGCAGGGTATAGGGTTACCGGAAACCATACACAACCCACTCATGTTTTTGTTGACACATTGCAAACACACTTGTGAGTGTGTGATAATGAGCGAAACAGTCAAAGAACATCTAACCAGACTCTCGGTGCAATCAGTATGCAGACACTCGCATGACAATCTGTTACTGATAATACTGTCAAATTGTCAGATAACACTGAGGACCCCATGTACATCATGTACTTTTCGTATGCTAAAAGCTCTCTTATCTGCCCACATGTTCCTATCATACACTGTACATGGTTCCTACACATATTTGCAGTATGCAAATTCCTGCAAGCAGCCAGAAAATGTGTATGCATAAACACGCATTAGCTCCTGCGAGAAGGCAAAATCACCACCACACACAAGGAGCCAAAGGTAATCGAGAATCACACTCACCTCTCTTTCGCACGCACGCACGCACGCGCGCGCGCACGCGCACACACACACACACACACACACACACACACACACACACACACACACACACACACACACACACACACACACACACACACACACACACACACACACACACCACACACACACACACACACACACACACAACACACACACACACACACACACACACACACACACAACACACACACACACACACACACACCACACACACACACACACACACACACACACACACACACACACACACACACACACACACACACACACACACACACACCACACACACACACACACACACACACACACACACACACACACACACCACACCACACACACACACACACACACACACACACACACACACACACACACACACACACACACACACACACACACACACAACACACACACCACACCACACACACACACACACACACACACACACACACACACACACACACACACAAATGGAGCAGGTGAAATGTGGCAGGTGTGCTTCGACAGTACATAAGGGTTGTGTATCACTTAGTCAGAGTAACAGCAGAAGTATAGGGTGAAGAAGGTAAGATAAGATTTTAAGTACACACACGTGCATTGGCTACCCGTCTACTATCCTTCCATGAAAAGATGATGTCCAGAGTTAAAACAGGTTTTGCAACTGGATAATGATCATGTATTTGTTTGCAGAGAATGTGTGAATGAGTGGGTTTTGCATGACAAATTAACCCTTTATTTCCCCTAAGTTTATGTTTTAGTCATTCCACAACACAAAGAGCTGCTTGGAAACCACCTGCTGAGCAGAGACACTGAAATGAAGCGAGGTAGTGCAGTGTGAAACAGATTACTGTATGTAAACTGTAAAAAAGGGACTTTTAAATCATTACAAAAAAAACAATTTAGTTGCGATTTATAAAGAAAAACATAAATGTAATTTTTAAAATAATAGTTTGTTGCTACCGTGTGATGATAATCATTCTCACGATATTAGAGCGTGCCTTCATTTTTTATTTTGTCACAATTATTTCTTAAAAAAATGTATAATAAGTAGCTTTAGCTTTAATAGATGTACACCTACATGTTCCACTGTTTCATTGGCACTATAGTTGTGCATCATTTTATATATGTTTCTCTCTATTTGATACATCCGTGATTTAAGTGACACATAGAACTAATTCATCCGTCATAATAAACATCAGATAATAGGCTTTACAATTCTCATCATTGAGCTTGAGACCGTTTCTCCCTGCTAGGATTTATGCACACTGGTCATATCAAATACTCAATGTTAAGCCCTTTTTTTTAATCCTCTACAATAGTTTGAAAGTAAAGCTTTGAAGATATTATAATGACATGAAGTACTTCCTGGGTCAGTTAGTAAGTCCATGCAGATTCAGAAAGCTATTACTTTAAACATGTCATCATTGATAAAGGGACACGCATTCAGATGGGGCAGCGCAGCATCTTTTAAAGAAGATGTGTTATTGAGTTGAATTTAATATGTAAAAAAAATAAATGTTTAGGTAATCCTTGAACATCTTTTGCACAGACTTTCTAAGCGATACAGCCAACAACGATGAAAAAGGGGCACCTCTGTTTGGCACAGGATTAGGCTACTTTTAGGTTCAGTGTTCTTTTTTGCTGTGCGGTCACAACAGGGCAAACGAGAGGGGCACCTTGGTTTCTGACTTTGGCGTGCCCCACTCCCCCAAAGTCACAGTAGGCGCTGTGGAGGGCTACAGTAGTTCCTCTTTTTCTGAAATAGACAGAAGAATAGCGAGTACATTTGGTGGTCTTTATTGTGACATGTTGTACTTTATGTAGTTGGTAATAGTGTGGGGAATAGAGAGGGAGAGTGAGAAGTGTATCACATGCTGTCCTTCTTTTTGCTAAAGGTCAGGGTTTTGGACAGAATAACAGACACATGCTAAAAAGTGTTACAGGACTATTGGAAATGACCTGCATTGAACTGAATTAATACTTATTTAGATAAAGAAAGCATACACAGCAGATATAGCAGGGACTACAAATGGGAGATTAACCCTTTCAGTGCAGAGCACAGTAGCCAGACAGAAAGAATGAGGCAGACAAAGCACACATGCACCACAAGTTTCATTTTTCACTTTCTACACATACCTTTGCTCTTCATCTCAGAGCGGTGGAGGTTTTTTTTAGAGTTCTCTTGACATTTTGGGAGGGTGTATCCCATGTTGTACAGTAAGAGCATCCGTTTCAATTGTACCTTGGCTATTATATTCTTGAGAACAAAAATAAAAAGCTCTTTCCTTTCTTCATTTAGGGCTTGTAACTAATTCACCAGCACTTACAATGGTAAGACTTACTAGAAGTGAATACATCTGCTCTTTCCTTGTTGTTCTGAGTTTGAATCTTGCACTTATTGTAAGTCGCTTTGGATAAAAGTGTCAGCCAAATGTTATGTAATTATAAGCTACCGGCGAAAAATGTCACGTAAGGTGCCTTTTACTGGTTTGCTTTTGGAGGTAGATGGTTATCGATATGATGGGAGTGGTTGGCTTAGTGTCATTTAAGGGGCATCAGAGGGGCTTTGTTTGCAGTGTCAATATTTACAGTGACACATGCTTGAGGACTACTGAATGAATGAGGGGAATTGTGTGTGTGTGTGTGTGTGTGTGTGTGTGTGTGTGTGTGTGTGTGTGTGTGTGTGTGTGTGTGTGTGTGTGTGACATAGAAACACAGAGACAGAATCATAAACATAAATGGATGTAAGATGTAATGCTCTGATGAACAGATTTAAATCTTCAAAACTGAACTTTTATGATGTGTCTGTATTCTCATTTACCTCAAGTCATACTAAGAAAGTCTCAGGGGTGAATGAAGTTGAGTTGTAGCATTTAAACAAGGCCCATGTCACTCGAAAAGATAAAGTTTAGCAAAGTGTAACTGTACAGTGTAATATAATTGAATAGGTGACCAATCATAAGTACTGTCATCATCTACGAGCCTCATTTGCATTGCAAATCAGATATATGCAAATGAAGGAGGGAAACACAGCACCTCTCTTCTCACTACACTATCTTTTGTGCTTTCCCTCCTTTCAGCTCTTTATTTACACTATAGCTTTACTCTCCTCTTTTAAATCATAAATCTACATTAATCCTCGACGTTCATTTCCACTCATCTTAATCATTTTTACATAACCTGCTTAATGTGTTTTAAAATATGAGCACGCTCCCTGCAATATTCCAGTTTCACGAATCAACAGTGTGACTCATTTAGCTTCATGTTTGTCCTGCAAACTACAACTAAGAGCAACTTTACGATGTTTGATTTCAGCCCGTCTTTCTCAACGTTTTCTGTTTACACATGAGCTCATGGCCCCTAGCTAAGCTTACATCAAATGACTCGTCATGTTGATTCACAGGTCAACTATTGTATTTATACTGTAAAAAAGGCAGCAGGGAGAGTCACCCATGATGCCCCCCCCCTACACGGAGCTTCTCATTCATAGACACTGTTGCTCTCTAGTGGTCAAACATGTGTTCTTTGAAATCAAGCTCTTGCATTTATCTAAATTCAGTCAATTTCCACCCAACACTACACATAGGATATCCAACATGTTGAATGTTGATTGAAAAATATTTATTTGATAAGTTCACAGTGCTCAGAGGTGAGGTGTCAGAACTGGATTGTACAGTTAATTTTTTAACAATATGAACAACAATATATTCTTAACCTTAAGACATCAATCTAAAATGTAGCTGGTAATACAAAAGCTTTCTGCTGCTATAAGAAGCTATCTGTGCTTAGACACATGCTAAATGTGATAATAATGGAAAGACAAACATCTTCATCTCAAAGACAACTGAAGAAAACACTTCAACTTTGTTTGGACATACATTTCTAAACTGCCAGTCAAGAATGAGCTTTTATCTTTAAAAGCGAACATTGACAAAATGTGCCTACAGTATCCAGAGAAAATGGAAATGTTACAACTCCACAACGACTGGATCACGACGACCATGTGAAACAGTTAAAAGCTCCAGATCCATCACTAAATGGACATAGTAAAACAAATTAACAAAATACAGAAACAAATATATACATCTACATTTCTCATTGACTCAAACAAACGTAGGCCAAAAACAAAAAGAATACTTTATAATTACTTCTGTGTAATTTGGCACTGGGATGAACATCTTTCAAACCATGACTACTGACTACCGTACCTAAAATATGTGTGAAGATTGACATTATAGTATTGGACAACACAGTTAAAACTGAGGTGGAACTGCACCACAGAACGAAGCGTTTGAGCACTGTGGTTACTTTTGAACATGCATTAAGACTGTGTAACATAAGGGAGAACATACCCCCACTATATAATGCGTAACAAATATTTATACTTTACAGATATATTGGGATTTCTGGTTAAAAAGAAATGTCCGCCATTTTTGTCGATTACAAGGTACTGTATATAACAAATGCCTTTTGGCCATTACAGTAAATTCTCAGATTTTAGGAGACAATATTTTTTTAATAAGATGATAAATATAGTGAATATGGTAGGATAATCACTACAGCATACAAAACTGTATTAACACATATAGTATACACTTGTTATTGTGAAACCAGTAGGCCTCTGTTTTAATGACCCTGCATCAGTGCCGGTTGTGAGAGGTATTGAACGCCACACGAGGCCTCTAGTCTTAACTTCAGTTTGTTTACACTTAGAAATAACAACATATTGATGTTTTAGGTATCACACACAGAGATGATTCATGGTTAATAACTGCTGGTACATGAGTCCTATGAGATAATGACAACAGTGTGCACTACAGTGGTGCTTACATTAGGAGTGTCAGCTTAACCAGTTACAGTGAAGACATACATGCTTTACCAGAGCTATAGGAAGTATTGAATATGGTCACTTTATTACAACTCACCAGTGACTTAACCTTATTGCACTGAAACTCATTCAAAACACTGAGTTCATTGATATTATATACTGTATATATATTTTACACTTTTATTCAAGATAAGTATATATATATATGTGGGATATCAGTATGTGGGATATCAGTGTGTGTTATACAGTGTTTGCTGGGTTGTTTGAATCATAAAGCTCAACTACAGCTTCTGTTAGCATCGTGTAACAGTACACAGCCTCGGCCCTGACAGAACGTGACAACATCAACGATAGATATGTATATCAAAGTGGTCAAAATAACACTTTATATTGGTACATTTGACCAAACCGTATATACAAACTCTTTATAGGCTTTGTTTAATATATCATTTATATCAGCTTCATACGGGTGATAATAACATAGATGTAAAAGTACAATTTTGACCATGAATTAAATATATCTTATATTATTTATTATATAAAGAATGATGGTATATCGTGTTGTTATTTGAACCTTTTACAGCAGACATATTGACGTATTATTGTAGAAAAAAAAGTTAAGTAGTTATCGATTATAGCCGATTGGGACACTGAGCCCTCGTCTGCCGTGAAAAAAGTTAATCGTATCGTATGAAAATATTAGACATAGAGGTATTTGCAATCACAAATTGACCCAAGTATGAACGTGGCAGATCATGATGTGCACACAGTGACTGTAGCAAATGTAAGAAGAAGGAATTATAAAAGCCTTAGAGCGGTACAGCAGTGATGGCATCTCTCAGAACAGTGAATTGGCGCCTTGCAAATGCTCACTGGGGGAAACACCCAATCTGACCCTGAGACTGTTCAAGATCAAACAGTAAGCAGGCTGGAGTAGTGTTTGGACATGTGAGATAAGTTACAGTACGCTGGTATGGCCGAAGAAAAACACGCAGAAACTGTAAAAACCAGTAAAGGTTAAAACATCATTAAAACATAAGATTAACAGACATTTGCTGTTAAGGCTGTGTTGTATATGAGCTGGTGAAGTGAGCATATCCGATAAATAAATGCACCAAATGAGTTGTTGCAAAGGTCACACAAGTGCAACGAGTTAAATGTCCCAATATCCATACTCCTCATAATAAAGGCAAGTACATTACTTAGATTTTGGCATGTGAAGTGCTGAGGTTGAACATTAAAGTATGTACATATTATACCGTGTCTACACAAACACTTTAAAAACATGGCTTCGGTTTGTATTTTCAACATTGGCGAGTTCAGAAACATCCAGCTGACACTTGACATCAGCGTTCAAGCCACGGTGTGTCAGTCAGTAGTTGTACGAGTCAGTAAGTTACACGGTTAATAGAGAAGTGTTGTAAAGTTTATAGTACCTTGACATACTAACTTTAAAAACGCACTTTAGTGAAAAGTAGAAGTGACACTTGTATGAAAGAGCATCTAATAGAAGTGCAAGCTGTACAAAAAGAGAAAAAAGTGAAAAGAGTTTAATAGAGTTTGTGTTGTTTAAAAAGCAAGGCGGAAATATTCTTCTTTTTCTTCTTCCATTCATTTCATCACCTTTTCCAGCACAGTCCAGCTGACTCGTTTAATGTCTTCGTTGTTCAAGCAGCATTGTGCAAATTCATTTATACCGTGTTCTGCCATCAAAAATAAACGCTCCAATTCACAGGGGATAAGAACGAGGCATGTCTTTTTAAAATTGTCAAATATTTGCTAAGATTATCCATCCATCTGAAAGTTCAATCTTTCTGCGCCTTATTTTTCCCCTCTCAGTGCTACAGTCCTCTCCTCCAGCAGAGGGAGCCATTCCGTATGAATGGAAGCCAGACTCCCACTCCCTGCAGCCTATGAACAACAGGCTGTGGGAGAAAGACTGCTGAAGGACAAACAAGGAGGTTGATACACACTCCTCTCCTCTGTTTACGAAGGAAGATCAAACACCTCAATAGATAGGAGGAAAATTAAGAGATGCCTTCCACCTCTCCTCCTCCTCCCCCTTCAGGCTCTTCTGCTTGTGAGTCTGAAGGAGTGTTTGCGTATCGCAGGCGGCTCCAGCGCGCCTTGTTCTTGTGCATGTGACCCGTCATGGTGTGGCTGAGAGAGCTGGGCTCAGTGAAGCGGTGCCACTCGTCAAACAGAGGCTCCACGATGTAGGAGATGAACCCTGAGAGAAACAGGACAAAGGTGAGTCATCTCAGAGTCAGTCGAGGGATAGAATAAGATGAGATATTTGATGAAAACACAGTTCTTGGTGCTCCTGGTACTCACCTATCTGAACGGCTGGCACAGAGTCAGCCTGCTGGTTACACAGAGGACTGATCTCCATGTCAAACTTCCTCTCCAGGTCTCCTGTCGGGTAAATTCAGAAAACACTCTCCAGATGAGTAAAAGAGAAGCCATAACAAACATGATGCTGATGCAGCCTATCATAACATATTCAGGGTGGTACCTTTACTGATAAATGCCAAAAGAGTAATATAAGTATATTTTAAACTGCTTAAGCGTCAACATTTGCCTTTATCATTTTCAGTATGGATGCACCAATGTAATTTCACCGACCGATTACCATTCCCCATTTTTTAAAAGTCTGTCCTGCCGATTTTCTTACTAAATAGTTAATACTATAAGTGACACCATACAAAAACAAATGAAAAGCCAATTGTATGTTCATAATAAAACATTGACTTAAATAACTTACATTCTCTCCAAAACTGCTTCAAGGACCTTCTTGTTGTCAAACCTTTTTTTTAAGGTTGACCTCCAGGGCTTGATACAAATTGCGAGTTTTATGTCTTCTTTCACTCGCAATGAAAATGTCAACATGTTGTGTACGGCAACCAAACGTACAAACCATGGCTGATCAGCTTACAATCAGCCGGTCTCGAGGGGTGGTCGGGCGGGCGATGCTCCTCAAATGGCTTTTTTACCAAAATGAATGTGAACAAAGACCATTTCTGAGAGGATCTGCTTCCAAGTCCTATTTCCGACTTGGAAGCTTCAAGTGCTCTGATATATCCTACTTAGTGCTAGATAATACAACGGTGCATGAAAACCAAACAAACATATATGTCAGAAGGCTATTTAAGTCTAATATTCACGAATGTATTTGGGAAAAGTGGTCTTTATAGGAGTAGTTGCTAAACAAATATGTGAAAATGAGGCTATAAATCATTTCCACTGTGTGCAAACACTACTAGTAGTGAAAATGCTATATGCAGTCCCACTTAAAAGACAAAGTAGTTTCTCTTTTTGTCTTCTTTAAACACACTTTACTCACCCTGCCTGTAGAATTCCTCACACACCCTCTCGCTCCACTGTCTGCTCAGCTCCCAAACCCGACACGGATTACAGACGTCGGCGCACTTCAGAGCGATCTGCAGCAGAGACAGAGATTATACCAACTGTGCCGCTACGCTAGCTTTACTGCAGAACTTTAATAAAACCGTATTGTACCGTCAGAGCAGTGTGAGGGACGTACCTGCAGGATAAAGTGTCTGTGTGAAGCCAGCTGAAGGTCCAGGTCCTGGTTGTCCAGATGTTCTCTGAAGGTGGACAGGAACTCGTTCTGCCGGCTGATGTCTGTGGCGAGGATGAGAGAGCCCAGCTGCTGCTCGATGTCCTGCCTGCAGAGGAGAGGGGAGCCCCACTGAGACCAAACATCAAAACCACTGATACCTGATCTAATGTATTCTAAACCTACACAAACAGATGTGTTTTTTGGGAGATGCTGTCTATTTCTTTAGTAAGTTATCATAGGCTGCCCTTTTTACATACTTTAAAAAAAATAAAAGTCCTTAATGAATAGCTGTGATGGTGTTCTAGTACAGACCCTGACCTGTTACCTAACGCTGGAGGTCGGTGGATGAAAAGAGATTGTGATGCCACATGCATCATGATTACTTAAACAAATCAAACAAGCTGATGTGTGTAGTTGTGTGTGTTAAAACTCTAAGCAGGTGCTATGTTCCCTGATACGTTACAAAGAACTCTAGAGCAGGAACACCAAAGTTATGTTTGCAGTAGGCGTGTCTTTACAGAACAGTTTGAAGGTTTGAGACTCAATCACCAAGTTGACATTTGATTTATAATTCAATGTTTGGACAATGCAAACCTTTATTTTCTCGCATTAAAACAGGTATTTCTGCACATTTGAGATCAAGATAAGGTTACGTTTATATTATTGGTACAATTTCATCATATTAAATTACATTTAATTTAAATGATGGTTTTATTCCAAGCGACTTAAAATAAGCGCAGTCAACTATTTGTAAGATATAAACTAAAAAAAGCAGAAATCCTGCAAGTACAGTATATTAGTTTCCAATAAGACAAAGCATTTTAAGTGCTATGTAGGGAAGTTATAATTCTTATAATACATTGTTGTCATGGTTTGTATACTACAGAAGACCTGGATACACAACAGTGCTGAAGTCAAATTCTTCAATACGAGTAGTGAATCCTAATAAATGATCTGTTCATGTTGTGTGTTTGTGTCAAAGTTCTTACGAGATGTCAGCCGGCATGTGGGACAGCAGTCCGGACTCTCGCAGCATGCCCACGGTGGATCTCCAGTGGTGACTCTCCAGCACAGACGTGTTCTGTGGAGACACACTCAGTTACAGGTCGAACACCACAACTAACACACAGTTTAGCCCGAGTACTGACACACGTGAGCCCAGCTGGGTTTACCTGGTAGAGGGAGGCCAGGTGGTGTCGGGTCTTGATGAGGAACGGCTGGTTGACTCCGGGATGGTCCACGTCGTGAGCGGCTGCTGCCATCAGAGCCAGGAACACGTCCAGAGGACTCAGCTGCTCCGCCAGCTGCAACACACCAAGGTTCAAAGGTCATGTTGTTCCTAATGTAGGAGGGACTCTTGATAATAACAATAAAACCTTACTTTTAAATTACTTTGTATACAATGTTGCACAAGATAGACAGATCATGACATGAAAGACATTCGAATCAAGTCAGAGGGTGAAATATATTAGCATACCCCAACCCTCTCTTATATTGTAAAGCGACTTTGAATCAGAGAAAAGCGCTATATAAATCAAATGTATTATTATTATTATGTGTACATGCGTGATTTCAAGGAGTTAAAAATAAGTTTGCAATACAATCAATAACATTTTAAAATCCAAAAGTGAACAACTGCTAACCAACTCAAAAAGCAAAGCAAGACAGATATAAGACGCACTTCATAAAACAATTGAAATAAATTAAATATATATACAGATAATAAAGAAACACATTCAAATATGAAGATGCCATGAAGAGCTTATAATTGTTTAAATACCAAATAAAAAAGTATATTTGATTCTGACATTGAATCATTTTACATTAAGGTGAAAATACAAAACAAATATTGGTTTTTGATATTGATAGACATATATTTATGTCACAGGTTGAGGATACATGCTTAATAGTATGTAAAAGGACAAAGTGGCGTATTGATCAGACAAGCAGCATCTTCTATTTAGAGTGTGTATGCTGTTATCTAGATAAACACTGGTGTGTTGTGATGTTGTATTTATGTAAGTGCTTTTAACAAAATAGGTGCATCACAAAGTGCTTTACAGAGCAACAGATGACACAAAAGCAATTACTGTATGGAGGGATAGATACTCTTAATCCTGTCAGAGAGCTTCAGGGGTCTCTGCAGGCGGAGGATGGATGTGTGCTCGGCTCTAAGTGAGCGGGAGTTCTCCCTCGGGAAGGACGGCTAATAGAATATGTCAAGAAGGAGCTCAGGCCCATTGAAGCCTTACAGTGTGTGTGTGTGTGTGTGTGTGTGTGTGTGTGTGTGTGTGTGTGTGTGTGTGTGTGTGTGTGTGTGTGTGTGTGTGTGTGTGTGTGTGTGTGTGTGTGTGTGTGTGTGTGTGTGTGTGTGTGTGAAAGAGAGGTGAGTGTGATTCTCGATTACCTTTGGCTCCTTCAGGTAGCAGTGCATGGCTTGGGTGACATCAGCTGCATGGACAGCATTGTGATAGGGATTCTGGGAGTGGTAGTCCTCTTGCACCATGCCTGGCATGACAGATTAAGGTTAAACCCTATTTACATTTTGACTGTGATTGTCTGAGCAGAGTCATTGTAGTATATGTATGTATGTCTTATACAGTATGTTCATGTTGTATTGAGCGGTGTTTAGTAAACATGAGTATCAGGGCCTCCGGTGTCAAAATGATATGCTCCTGTCCCAGGCTTCTTCTTGAGATGTCCATAAATTATGAAATTACACAACATTATATGTGTGATGAGCATTATCCAATCTACACACAAATAATTAAGCTTGATGCTTTAATCCACATTTTGACCATTATACAATTATCAGCTCTCAATTCATAACATTGTGTTGCTATGGGGAAATAATTGAATTAATTTTAAAATCAGTACAAAGAGGTTTTAATTTAAGGATCTACTCTAGTCCTCTGCAACATGTGTAAAGGTGGAGTAAAGTTACTGTTACAAAAATAAAAAGATCACTGTAAAACTGGTATTTTTCATTGGTATTATAATGCTTGACATTACTTTGACTTGGTGTGGATTATTGTCTATTGATAACAATATCTAGGGTTTTTAAAGAAAAAACATTTAAAAAAAGATTTTAGTAGTTGTGAATGTTGAAAAGATAAGAATCTAGATTCTAGAGCGTTAAACCACACAAAACAAAAGGACGTATAAGGACATACAAATGCTCACTTAGTTTCCATAACAAAAAAGGTTTTTGTCTCCAGCTGTTCTTATAACAATATGGTAGGCTCTTGTGCAACTTAAAGTCAAACTATAAGTGTCCACTTTTAAATCTATTTGTATTGGAAGCATGTCGGGACAGAGGGTGGATGTGTGATGCGGACACTTGCTTGCCACTTACCGAGAAACCTGTGCAGTTTGACCATGTCCAGCTGGAAGTGGTGAATGAGACCGTAGACATTGAAGAGATGGCACATCAGAGTCACCAGGCTGTTGCCTACAGTGCACAAATTCAATATATATTTAGAGCATTGAATCTAAAATCAAACTGTAACAAATAAAAAACAATGCTATCATAAAGTTAAACTGGTGAAGGAATATGGCGGGTGAGGTAAAACATCTGTTTAACTTTCAATAGTAGGAAAATCCCTCTTACCATTTGTAAGACGATCGAAGAGGAAAATGTCAAAGTTCCATGTGCCGACTTTTGACAGCATGTGCTGAAAAGAGAAAGTTTTCAGAACTGATTTGTGATTTAAACTTCACATATTCACATATCTACAATAGTTTGCTGTAAGTGTGTTCTTACTGCGGCTTGTCCCAGGTAGTTTTTGTCCAGTAGGTGCAGGGACCCCGGGGTGTTGGGCATCGCCCCCCTGAGCAGCCTGGAGGCGTGGCAGTACCTCTGAAAGCTCAGCTGACGCTTCACCTTCCTCCTGGTGCCGGACTCTACCCCCCCCTGCTGGGCACTGGCTGAAAATACAAATACATTAACAGTCTGTGCAGAGTACCTGACAAGGAAGTGCATCACTGACACAAAGCCGTTGTGTCCTTGGGCAAGACACTTCACCTGAACTTGCTCCTGTGGGTATTGTCCACAGTGGTGACCTTTATATGTGTAATGTGTATTTGTAAAGCGCTTTGAGCATCTGGAAAAGCGCTATAATAAATGTAAGGAATTATTATTATTATTATTAAAAGCATCTTTATAAACAGTTTTAAGATTTCATAGATTGTTTGTAATATATATTGTAAACTCTTTAAGTTTAGCTAATGGGCTGTTATTCCAAAGATACCTTATTGCCCTAATTCATACATCTCCATCCTGTCTCATGATTGTTTTGTATTTGTAACCATTTTGTCAATAAATTCATTGAATTATATGTGGTGCTTTCTAAGGATTTATATTGCACGTTTACCCTGATTCTGCTTCGCTTCTGTATTGACAGAATGCAGTGTATGACGCATCAAGTTTGCCAACAGCAATAATTAATTAATAAAAACTTCCTTGCATGTTGCATTCAGCGCACCGAAAATCAATGGCTGATTCTGTCTAAAAGAACACATTTTTAGCCTTCAAATTCCTCTCTACAAAATCAAAAGAGCAGTTAATATTTGTTAGTCAATTGGTAATTGCTGCTATTGATAAATGGAGTATATTGTTTTGTATTTAAATAGGTTGGGATGGGACGACAGGATTTATCGCAGATCATGAAAGAAAATAACAAAATGTAAGGGAAAGTGATTCCAGTTCAGTATCATTTTAACAGTTTAAAGCATTTTTGAATGGAATAAAATGATGAATCACAATTATTTTGATTTTTTTTAAATCGTGACACGTACTTTTGAGGATTCTCAGGTCAATCAGCGGGTAGGAGCCTCGTCTCTCAACCAGCAACACACCAGCATGACCAGTGTTCACTCTGCCATCAGCTGCACACAGACACAAAGACAGACAGAAGCAATTATATATATATATCAATGTCAAGTTGTGTTCTCTTTTGACAAACATGCTCAGATAAAACCTACGAATCAAAACTTCCCAGGAGGATATAGAGAGAGGAGGTGAGTGAAGTAGATCTGAAGAAACGGAGGAGCAAATCGAGTCATTCATTATAAAGCATGGGTGAGGGTGGGTGTGTTGTAACTAAGGAGCAGCGCTCTTCATTTCGGCTAGAACAACTAAGGTTTGCTATATGAGTTTGAATGTAAAACAAGAAAAGGGCTGGGCGTTTTAATATTATATCAATATTGTTTTACATGACTAGATATAGTCTGACATTTTGGATACTGTGGAAGCTCATAAGTGGGTTTTCCTTGTTTTAGAGACTGGATTAAATTAAAGACATGTTCTGCACATAACAGAGTGTTCCCACTTAGTGATTGAACATAACAAATGATTATGTATTAAAATATCATTGTGTTCATATTTTGTATACCAATAGTCAACCCTAAAAAATAATTGCAAAATTGACATAGGAGTTTTTAATAATAAATATTAAGATGTTTTTCCTACATATTTCTTAGCCTAAAAAAATAAATATTTGAAGTAACATTTTTGACAAATTAAAGTGCATTTTCTTCCTTAATGGATATAAAGCGTTTTTTATCTATACATATTTTTCCCGCAGAAAACTACCCTTATTTTTATTCTCATCCTTTTTGTGAGCACATATTAAACAGGAGAGGCCACACAGCAGCACAGAGTCCTTCAACACTGAATACGTCCTCTATTTAAAATGGACAACTCACAGCCAAGAATCCAAGAACAAGACAGAACAGAACTGAGGTCCAAAGCACACACAGTACCTTTTCACTTGAATAAACTGAAAACTATGGGAACACTGAATAATTTACAGATCAGATGTGAGGAACTGGAGCGTATTTTGTCCCAGGAGTTACCCGCTAACATCACCTCTGTGACTTACAGCATCTAAACCACCTGTTAATGGGGCTGGGGTCACCGTGGTAACTCCCTCGGGTTGCCAGATCTTGAATTGTGAGTTGCCAGTGTTGCCCGAGTGGAGGAAAGTGTTTTTTGGTTTTGTGTGTGTTGCCCAGGATGCATAAAGCTATGCATAAAACATACAGTGGAGAAGTGGCATCATTCCTTATTTATTATGCTTTGTAAAGTTCGACATACAAATATAAACAGCTTCTGGGAAGTGGCTCAGCCTGGTGAAGTGAGGCAGAAGAGTTTGACCAAGAAAGAGAGAAAAGAGAGAAAGCCTGTTTGTTTTTTACCTGTGGGTGGAGGCACAGAGAGGGAAATACATAACATGGAAACCCCCCCCCCACCCCAAAAAAAAAGACAACCCTCTAGCTCTCCGCCTTCACTCGTGCTCATTTTCATCAGTCCTCTCCTCTCGTCTCCAGATGCTTCTCGCTCTCTTTCTAACCCCTCAGTCTTCCCATCATCCTTCATTTCTTCCTGGTTAACAACAACACCCGCTCTCCCTCTCTCTTCACCTTCCTCTCCCTTTAACGCTGTGTGGTAAATAGGTCATTGTCTCTGCGCGGCGCAGAACTGGGTCATTTACGATGAATCGGTAGGAAAGGGTGTTTGTAGACGGCGATTGCACGTGTCCCATCATGTGGTCGTGAATAAACACCAAGTGCACTTACGCATATTCGCAAAGGAGGTTCTATCTGAGATTGCACACATGGTGCACGGAATCTGTCTAGTAGGGCCATTCCAATGATATCCTGTTATAGGATAATTGTAATATAATTCAATTTAAAATAAACAGATACTGGTCACATCACAGGGCTGAAAGCAGTGATATTTGTGTATTTTTACTTTAAAATTAATGTACGATTTGCCGATGAGCAATAAAAGTTGCCGGTTAATTATCTAACAATTGACTAGCTCTATTTTAACAGTTTACTTTTTTATTGTCACATCTGAACGCAAAAAAGTTTTAATAAATGCAGAACTTTATAGGAAATGGGCCTTCATATATATATATATTTTTTTTTCAGTATGTAAACCTATTTGATCCAGAGAGCTCCTCTTCATTAGTGATATATGTTTAATGTAAAAAAAGGCAGATATTTAATAAAACATTTTTTAAAAGTGTGGAAGATGGAATAAGCCGTTTTCCCTGTACGCCTGGGGCACGATGTGAAACTCTTAAACTGTGTACTTTTTCTACCTAAACGTTCCTATAAATACTGCTCTTTTTCAGCCCTTTAGACCCTTGGAAATGTCATGATGACTCACTATCACCGCTGACGGGTTATCTCATCGTGTTTTGACACATGTTTTATGCAGTGAAATCAAACAGCGTGCAGATAGCCGCTCTGTAAGGAGTCACAATACGGATGAGGTCATCACAATGCTGAGGGAAAGTCACCGAAAAGCGTACACCGCTTTCCACCTTATGAGTCAACGCTCGCGCGCAGGTAATTCCCCACAGTATGAATCATCACTAAAGCGTGTCAAGATTTATAAGTAGATTATTCCTTCGCTGTCATCTGATTACTGATTAAAGTGTTATTGCAAGTCTTGTTAATATGCTAAAATCAAAGTCATCGTTCAAATGTAAATCATATCTTTACATTGTCAAATATAAGATGAACCTATTTGCTGTCATTACTGTTGATTTTAAACATTGGTTGAAAGTAAAAGAATCCCTTCTCTCTGGAACTCATCACAGCAGCTTATCAGCAGTGTTCCTTTGCATCACCAGTGTTGTATTCCAGACAGACGGACTCGGCTTGATTGATGGCGTCACATCAGTGTCATCAGTTTCATCAGAACAGCTCGGCAGATGGTAGCACAGTCATTAGAGCACAAATCCCTCACTCCACTGTCTACTCTGACCGGCGTCTCAAAAGCTCTTAACCTCGCCTCGACCCACATCACTTACAAACACACAAAATACAAACACGTCAAAAATGAAAACGTGACAAAGATTCAATAGTCAAACAAACAAATGCAAGCAAAAACAAGGCCGGAAACCCCTTATTCAAAGAGTGACCTACCAGTAAACGAGCAGTTTTGTAAAGATAAATTATACAAATCATTACAAATCCTGTAGGAATGTGCCCAAAGAATTCCGATGAGAAGCCACACTGTTTTCATTACAGTTAGCGGTCGAAATGAGAACGTACATTATACATTAAATATTCATGAGATACCAACTCCCTGTAGATCTACTGTACTTGTAACATGTATTATGTGCAAGACATTTACCTTCCAGATGAGCGCTCCCGCCGTCTACGCCTTGTTTCACCTCCTGTACCTCCTCTTTCTCTGATTCCACCCAAGTGCTCGCCTGGCTCTTCTCTGGCCCCCGGGGGCCCCCCCCTGCGAGCCCTCCAGACGGCCCTGAGCTGCCGTATGAGAGCCGGCAGCTCCAGGGCCAGCGAGAGGCCCCCACAGGTGATAGGAGGTGTCCTCAGAGACCCCCAGACTGGCGGGCTGGGAGCCTCATCCGGACAGACCCCCACATCGGCCCCGAGACCGGAGTCCCGCATCCCGAGATCGGGACCCCAGAGCCCCTCCAGGACTGGCATCCTCGCACCCAAAGACAACGGATGAATGACAGCGAGGTGCAAGGAAGGGAAAGATCAAAGTAAAAAAGGGGGAGACAAAGAAGGATAGTGAGAAACAGAAGGGGAGAAGAAGAAAGAAGAAAGGGGGAGAAGCTCACCGTCCATAGGTGAGGAAGAGGAGAGACAGAGAGATAGTAACAAGTCAGAATGTAGGACAGAAGAAGAAAGACTGCTCAGTAGCAGGAAAGACAGAGTGACAGAGGAATTAGAAGTGAATGGAAGCAGAGTGATAGAAAGACTCGGAGGGTGAGGAAGCAGGAGAAACAATGTAAAGAGGATCCGTCTCTTTCCCTCTCACTGACGGTCTGCTCCCTCCTTCTGCCGCATTCCCTCTCCTCTCTACGGTCTTACTCGCGCCGGTGTTGTTGTGGAGTCACAAGCCCCTCCTCTCCTCTCTCACTCATATGTTGCTACACCGACAGCAGACCAATAGGATGTGTGCGAGCGACGGAGGGGCTTGGCTCCACGGTTTCATGGTCAGGTGATGTCAGTGAGAGTAATTTCATCCTCACACAAAACCCTTTTTGTCTAATATTAAAAGCTAGAGTGGGTAATGTATGACACACCTTTTATCTTTTGATTTGTTTCAATACGACCAGTGTCTTTATTGGATTGACAGCGATGAAAGAGGGATGACACAAATTGTCCCAGGCCGAATTCAAACCCGGATCCACTGCATGGGAACCAATGGTAAAAGAGTCTTTATATCCGGACAATAATTCATCAATCAAATGCTTTGAGGGGGAACAAAAGACAAAAATCCAGTTGATGAGGTCGGGGCAGGACTCTATCCTATCACTTCATTTTGTCGAAATTAAATAAGATAAGAAGTACTTTATTGATCCCAATGTGAGACATGTTTGTGTTGCAGCAGCATAAAAAGACATGGCATTGTACAATAAATGTAAAGACTAGAAATAAACAAGAAAGTAGAAAATATACATGTTGAATTACAAAATGTACAGTAACCAATATAAAGCAAGTTATTATTTATACATAACGTATGTGAGGCATGGAATATTAAGTATTAAAAAGTAAAATATGTAGCAGAGAGTTTATTTATATGTATACATTATTTATGATTATTGTGGGGCTTTGGAAAGAGCTCTAAAGGGAGGGGCTGTCAGAGTGGCCAACTTGATGGCATTCCTATTAGATTGTGACCGATGGAGAGAGTGCTGCTTTTGTGATGCTTTAGTTTATTAGATAAAACAGAACAAAATGTATAAATACTTGCTTTAAAGGGGATGTACCAAGCTTTTACAATGTTTTCATCATTTCCATAGAGTATTATTTACTAAACAAATCAGTTTAATATCTGAGTTTGTCAGTGATAGTAGTGTGCGTACCTTTTTTTTTTTTTTGTTATCCTTGAGCGTACAAGCTCCTTTACACATTGATTTCCAGGTACACTGAATCAGTAAAAGAATGTTGAATGTTCATATACTATATATAAAAAGTGTACTGTGTCCCCTGGTTTTAAACTACCATCTTGAAGCCCTGAGTTTTTTGTTAGCCAGAATTGACACATACAGTGGGGCAAAAAAGTATTTAGTCAGCCACCAATTGTGCAAGTTCTCCCACTTAAAAAGATGAGAGGCCTGTCATTTTTATCCTAGGTATACCTCAACTATGAGAGACAGAATGAGAGGGAAAAAAAATCCAGAAAATCACATTTTTAAAGAATTTATTTGCAAATTATGATGGAAAACAAGTATTTGGTCAATAACAAAAGTTCATCTCAATACTTTGTTATATACCCTTTGTTGGCAATGACAGAGGTCAAATGTTTTCTGTAAGTCTTCACAAGGTTTTCACACACTGTTGCTGGTATTTTGGCCCATTCCTCCATGCAGATCTCCTCTAGAGCAGGGATGTTTTGGGTCTGTCGCTGGGCAACACAGACTTTCAACTCCCTCCAAAGATTTTCTATGGGGTTGAGATCTGGAGACTGGCTAGGCCACTCCAGGACCTTGAAATGCTTCTTACGAAGCCACTCCTTCGTTGCCCGGGTGGTGTGTTTGGGATCATTGTCATGCTGAAAGACCCAGCCACGTTTCATCTTCAATGCCCTTGCTGATGGAAGGAGGTTGTCACTCAAAATCTCACGATACATGGCCCCATTCATTCTTTCCTTTACACGGATCAGTCGTCCTGGTCCCTTTGCAGAAAAACAGCCCCAAAGCATGATGTTTCCACCCCCATGTTTCACAGTAGGTATGGTGTTCTTTGGATGCAACTCAGCATTCTTTCTCCTCCAAACACGTCTAGTTGAGTTTTTACCAAAAAGTTCTATTTTGGTTTCATCTGACCATATGACATTCTCCCAATCCTCTTCTGGATCATCTAAATGCTCTCTAGCAAACTTCAGACGGGCCTGGACATGTACTGGCTTAAGCAGGGGGACACGTCTGGCACTGCAGGATTTGAGTCCCTGGCGGCGTAGTGTGTTACTGATGGTAGCCTTTGTTACTTTGGACCCAGCTCTCTGCAGGTCATTGACTAGGTCCCCCGTGTGGTTCTGGGATTTTTGCTCACCGTTCTTGTGATCATTTTGACCCCACGGGGTGAGATCTTGCGTGGAGCCCCAGATCGAGGGAGATTATCAGTGGTCTTGTATGTCTTCCATTTTCTAATAATTGCTCCCACAGTTGATTTCTTCACACCAAGCTGCTTACCTATTGCAGATTCAGTCTTCCCAGCCTGGTGCAGGTCTACAATTGTGTTTCTGGTGTCCTTTGACAGCTCTTTGGTCTTGGCCATAGTGGAGTTTGGAGTGTGACTGTTTGAGGTTGTGGACAGGTGTCTTTTATACTGATAACGAGTTCAAACAGGTGCCATTAATACAGTTAACAAGTGGAGGACAGAGGAGGCTCTTAAAGAAGAAGTTACAGGTCTGTGAGAGCCAGAAATCTTGTTTGTTTGTAGGTGACCAAATACTTATTTTACCGAGGAATTTACTAATTAATTCATTAAAAGTCCTACAATGTGATTTCCTGGATTCTTTCCCCCCATTCTGTCTCTCATAGTTGAAGTGTACCTAGGATGAAAATTACAGGCCTCTCATCTTTTTAAGTGGGAGAACTTGCACAATTGGTGGCTGACTAAATACTTATATGATACAGAGGCGTAACGTCACTACCTGTCTAAAAAGACCTTAATGCAAGCACCATTGAATAAACAGTAAACAAATCCAGAACTTATCTAAATAAGATGTCCACTTTCTATCAACTCCAATTTAATCCCAAAAAGTCATATTTGTATTTGTGCACTTTTAATAGTCCTAAAATGAACTGCTTTGAACTCAGATTAACTTAACATTTATTGGAGACTGAAAACAATCTCTTCCTGTTGTCCTTATATAAATAAATATCCCAAACAAACCCAAAGGCTTTCCTGTGGCGGTGATAACCAGGCATCAATAAACACCAACAAAATGAGGTGATTGTAAGACCTGTGTGTTCCTCTTCGCATGCAAATCATAGAGGATGTACTGTTACAAGCATTGCATTTTTCCATGGAAATATTCCCTTGAGAAAAAGTCACATGAAGACTAAATCACTGACACCCCCACAGACACACACACAGGCGCAGACAGACACGTAACCTTGAACGTCAGATATCAGACACAAGGAGTTGATTGCAAGAAATCATGAGACAACGAGCGTTTGGATAAAAGATACATTCCGGGAGAAAGCGTGAGAAGCATGTACAGCACGGTTATTCAGTGGAGAGTCATGGCTGTGTACTCAATGAACTCTGGTCTTGTGGTAGCTTTGACGCCTCAGCAGATAAGGCTGTACAGTAACATATTCTATTATAGTCTATGTAGTGATGCAATGCGTTATATATCATATCTAAAACACGGTATCTCAAATGACAAACAGCAACAAATTGATTTATCGGACACGGCCGACATGATTGATTCCAATTTCTTCCTTTAAACTTTGAAGGTACTTTAGGATCATTTAAACCAGGGTTACTAGAGGTGCGGCTAGGGGAGACGGCACCATCCCATTTAGGAAAGGCGCATTCAGCCAGGCTGTCTTTTCATTCCACGCATCCCATCAATGGAATTCAATACCACAACCAATAAGAGGATCCTCATCCTACTACACATTCAACCAATAAGAGGATCCTCATCCTACTACACATTCAACCAATAAGAGGATCCTCATCCTACTACACATTCAACCAATAAGAGGATCCTCATCCTACTACACATTCAACCAATAAGAGGATCCTCATCCTACTACACATTCAAGCACAGTCTTAAAAAGTGGCTCATTGAAAACCAACAGTGTCAGCACTGATGTGTGTGTGTGTATGAGTGTGTATTGTAAATGTTTTATTTATTTATTTATTATCATGACTTGCTCTTATCTGTATTCAGTGATGTCATCTATTGTAAATATGTACATTGGTATAACAATGTTGTGGTATTTTTATTATTGCTTTCAGGATGTCTATCACCATCTGGCAAAGGGACTATCGATGAAAACTAGCCTTTTGGCTAATTCGAGTACTTTTACATGTTTTTAATATGTTGATTAATGTACACTGTCCCTTGTTATAAATTAAATCAATTCAATTCAAACCTACACCGACACGTTGTCGTATTACAACTATTTTGCCACTATGAACATTTGTTGGTGCATTTCCTGTGGGGTTGTTATATACAGACTATAGGCTACGTTTGATGACAGGTAAATTACAAGTCACATCATTAGACAATAGGGTTGGACAATTGGACGAATAATATAGCAATTGTCTGAGTACATCGCCGGTTTAGTTTTTCGTAGTTTTATCTTAGTAACTTATCGCTCTGTCTCCAAAGAAAGAGTGAGGGTCTCCGCTCAGCGTGCGGCTAACTGGATGAATTGAGGGGTTCATTTGAACTAAGAGCGGGTGATTGATAGAAAAGCGGAATAGGTAACCAAAACGTTTTTATTCTGTTTATGTGAAGTTTGAATGAAGTGTTTTTTAAATGTATTAACAAGGCCATTAAGCTAGGGTTAGTTTGGTGAAGAACCGACATTTGGATTTGAAGGTTTACAGTTTAAAGTAAAATGATGTAAGAATATTTCCACACATTCTTTTTTTCCTTCTAGTTATGCATAAAGCAAAAAACAGAATACTGCCACAAAATATACATTTATTTATTTGTTCAGAGGATGAGCATCATCGGAGGCAATGACATTGTAAGCATCAGTTTGCTCGTACTACTTTAAAGCAGATGTGTGTCTGTAGTCGGCGTAAAGAAGTGGAATTATTTGCCGAATGATTTAAAGGGCTGTAAGAAAATGTTTATGTTTAAGAAAATGTAAGAAAGCTTAATTAGACAGTTTGAAGTTCACTTTTGATTGTGTTCTGGTTTTATGTTTCAGTTTTTGTAAGCAATTGTGACTGAAAGAATATTGCTTTTGTTTTACTTTTTTATGGTTATTTCAATTCTTTTTTTCTTTTAAGGAAGGTCAAATACGATTGTCTTCGCCCTGCTCCTTTCCAACATGCGCTATAAGAAACAAACAAAAAACAACCATTATAAGTGTACATGTTTTGTAAAGTGTACATGTTTTGTAAAGTGTACATGTTTTGTAAAGTGTACATGTTTTGTTTTAATATTACTGCCATGTGTGGAATAAACAAATACATCTTTAAATGTTTTAGTACTACAAAGAGCTAAGAGATCACAAGAGACATCTAACTTGTGTCTGTGCAAAAATGAAACAGCTGTTGCCCTTTACTATTACACAGACC